ATAATTTAAACGTATAGAATTATTTGGCAAATTAATATGTAACTGTTGAATAAAGATTCTTCATAAAAGATGTTAATATCACTAACCAATCAACGTAACATATCAAAAATACCAAGCAAATACCAGTACATCCATACAAAATGTTACTAATACTACCAGGAGATTAATACAAAATTATATTAAATCCAAATTAATCTATTGTTAATTCATTTCTTTGACTTAATAAGGAATTTGTTATTAAATCTGATAATTTCCAATTTTTCATGCAAGCACAGAAAACAGGGTTCATATAAAGATTTACATGTCCTTGCCGTTTTAAAAATTTTCCATTTTACTTTAGGAGTCTTATCATCTTTTAAACTTCAAAAATATTTAGAAAGTGATCTATTATTTCTGTAAGTACTATTGGTAAAGGACAAGATATGTTGATAACACCTAGTCTTGAAAGAATTCATAGTACTACCAATATAGAATTTTTCAAACTGTCGGATTCTCCATTGTAGAGATAGTACAAAGATAAATAAGAGATTTAGTTAAACATTTGTTTCGCAATGGGCAATAGTCATAATTCCTACAATTACATTGGCCAGAAACGTCAACTATGAACACGGCCACAATGTACTGACCGTGTTTGGAAAATAAACCATTCTCTAGGTACATAAATAAAAATTCCATACATTCAATAAAAAGTAAAAAATAAAATCATGTTTGATAATGGCTGAAAGATTAGCTGAAAGATTAGCTGAAAGCGTACGGACAGACAGAATATTCGGACAATTTCTACATAACTTATGTCCCAAAAAGAAAAATATAAGAACACAAGAAAAATTAAATAAAATACTTATCCGCACTACCTTGTCAGTCGTTTTTAATTGAACTTGTATAAAAGAGGGATTGCTGCCTAAATACAAAATTAGATATAATTACAAAAGGGTGTTTCATTAAGACGGATCAAAGTCAGCAGTAAATAAATCAGTGTTATTAGTGAAAATTGATTTATTTCTCTATTGGATTATGTTATTTAAGTCATGGCAATTATGTGTGAAAAATAATATCGCCCAAATGTATGCCAAGACTCCCAAGAGGATATTTCCCCGATCACTACAATTTTAACCCTTTGAGTCCTGAACAAATTAAACCCTTCTGCCTGAGCTCCTGTGTCAAAATTCGCAAATAATTGGTATGTAATATTTCACTGTAGATATGTGCGAAAAATAATATCGCCTAAATGTCCGCCAAGGCTTCGGCGGCACACCTCCACTCGATGGTCAAAATTTTTGATGTCGTCTCTGCATAGTTGCTCCTCAATCTCACCAATATGCCTTATTATCTCATCCTTCAGCTGTTGAATTGTTGTTGGCTCGTTGGTATACATCTTACTTTTGAGATGACCCCAAAGGAAGAAATCTAAAGGCGTCAAGTCGCATGATTGTTGTGGCCAATTGACTTCGCTGTTTCGAGAGATGATGATACTTGGGAAGTTCACATTGCATTTCTGTTTGAATGTCCATTTTCGTAATAGGCTTCGATAACTTTAACACGTTGTTTGATTGTTAATCTTTCCAGGTTTGAAATTGCCAACGACTTAAGTTGTTAAATCTGAAAGAAAACGAAAAATCCATTTGAAGCTTAAACTTAATTCACATTTAAAATCGGTCCACGTTATTGGAACACCTTTTATATGAAACCCAGCATATATTCATGACACCCAATCTGATAAAGGTACACCAGGTACATTCATTACAGCCAAGTGAGCGAGATATGAGGAAGGGGTAATAAAGGGTGTTTAATTAAGTCGGATTATATATATATATATATATATATATATATATATATATATATATATATATAAGGGTGTTTCATTAAGACGGATCAAAGTCAGCAGTAAATAAACCAGCGTTATTGGTGAAAATTGATTTATTTCTCTATTGGATCATGTTATTTAAGTCATGGCAATTATGTGTGAAAAATAATATCGTCCAAATGTCCGCCAAGGCTTTGGCGGCACTCCTCCACTCGGTGGTTAAAATTTTTGATGACGTCTTTGCATAATTGCTCCCCGATCTCCCCAATATGCCTTATTATCTCATCCTTCAGCCGTTGAATTGTTGTTGGCTTGTTGGCATAGACCTTACTTTTGAGATGACCCCAAAGGAAGAAATCTAAAGGCGTCAAGTGGTGGCCAATTGACTTCGCTGTTTCGAGAGATGATGCGACCTAGGAACTTTTCATTGCATTTCTGTTTGAACGTCCATTTTCGTAATAGGCTTCGATAACTTTAACACGTTGTTTGATTGTTAATCTTTCCAGGTTTGAAATTGCCAACGACTTAAGTTGTTAAATCTGAAAGAAAAAAGAAAAAAATTAGACGCTTAAACTTAATTCACATTTAAAATCGCACATTTAAAAAGTTATTGGAACACCCTTTATATTTCATGCGTGTGTGTGTGTCCGTGTCTGCGCGCCTATGTGTGTATGTTCGATAAATTTATTGAAATTATTATTAAACCTCATATTTATACTACTCGGAACGATTTCAAATTCTTACCACGCTAGAGTTTCCTTAAGACATCCCATTTAAATTTGGAAAAACTTAAAATGTTTTTTTTTAACATCACTATATATATACACACTAACCTATACATATATATGTACACATCTACAATTTTTTAAATAATTACATCATATTCGCAATTATTCAAATTTATCGATTATTTATTTTCTTATTTTTAAATTAATTCTTTACAGATTCAATTTATTTTTATTTAATTATTTTATATTTTTGACATTCGGCAAATATATTCTGAAGCCGAGACACCAGATCAGGACCATTAATATTGCTGATTCTTCTTTGGATTGTATCACTTAAATAAGCCGAGCTTATTAAACTACAGAAATGAATTGATGTTTACATGTAGGCCTAAAAATAGATATCTGCATGAATACGTTGATCCACATTAATTTCTAATGTAAATTCCGGTTTATTTTTAATGTAAATTACTGTTTATTTTTAACTTACTGTTTGTTTTTTGTTAGTTTTTAAATAAAAACAAGTAATCTCCCTTTAATTAAAAATGATTTTTAATAAGTGTTTTTTTATTTTCTTAATATATATACAAATCCTGTTTATCTAAATTGCCAAATATAATTTTTTTTAATTAAAAACTATAATCGAAGTATAATATATAACTGCGCCAGCATTTATATAGCCATATATATATATATATATATATATATATATATATAAATTTCAAATATGTAATGGTAAGATTGCTTTGAACTAGCGGTGATAATATGTATGATTAATATATACTTAAAGGCTTTGTTGTATTACATTGGCACTGTTTTATTTACACTCACACTATATGTGTGTTATACTAGATAGATAGATAGATAGATAGATAGATAGATAGATAGATAGATAGATAGGAAAAGAATCGACGTAGATAGATAGATAGATAGATAGATAGATAGATAGATAGATAGATATGTATTGGCAAACACGGTCAGCACAAAAAAAATGGAAGCGTAGTAATAAAAAAAGATAAAACTAACACTCAATAACATCAACTATGATCACGGTCACAATGTGCTGACCGTGTTTGGAAAATAAAACATTCTTATAACTCTCGGGACATACATTTAAAAAATTCATACATTCAGTTAAAAGTAAAAATAAAATCATCTTTGATAATAGCTAAAAGTATAGCTGAAAGCGCGCACACCTACAGAATATTCGGACAATTTCGATATAATTTATGTCCAGAAAAGAAGAAAAATATAAGAACACAAGAAAAATTAAATAAAAAAAACTTAACCGCCGTACCTTGCTAACCGTTTTAATTGAAACTTTATAAAAATGGGATTGCTGTACAAATATGGAATATATATATATATATATATATATATATATATATATATATATATAATAAAAAAGGCTTAAACACTAATATTCCATGGTCATAATTTATTCCATTGGAATCGTAAATACGATCCAAATCATCAGACCTACAAATTCAAAAAAAAAAAAAAAAAAAATATATATATATATATATATATTAATAAAAATATCAAGCACTTAAAATCACATAGGTAATAATTTTTATTTCATCTTAAAGAAAAATAATGATGAAATAAAAATTATTACCTGTGGGATTTTAAGTGTTTGATATTCTTTTATTAATATTAATTTTGCTCTGTCTTTTGACATAGAGCTCTCATTGGATCTATATCTTCCTGGAAATTCCATACGGATTACCTTAGTGTATAAGTACAATACATATATATATATATATATATATAGATAGATAGATAGATAGATAGATAGATAGATAGATAGATAGATAGATAATGTTTCATTAAAAACAACTGTCAAGCTACTGCTTGGAATGGAAACATAATAAAAAATGAAAAACCAAATACTCTATATCATCTTTGAACACGGCCACAATGTACTGACCGTGTTTGGAGAATAAAACATTCCTATAAATATATATATATATGTGTGTGTGTGTGTGTGTGTGTGTGTGTGTGTGTGTGTGTGTGTGTGTGTGTGTAAACGTTTTTAATGGAGACACCTATTTAAATAGACATTTCTGTTTATTTAGAAACAGTGAAATTAACGTCTACCGGCCTAAATCATCGAAAGGTTTATTAACGAATATGTACTCGACAGAATTCGATGATCAAATCCGTACACTTTAAACTAACATTTATAGAATTATATTAAAAAAAAATATTGGCAGACTAAAAAAAAATCATTAATCCATGGATAACAAATAACAAAAGAAATAGGAGAGTCATAGTCATGGATGGACGTGCTTTAAGAGAAAGTGCAGATTAAATATCGACACGTCTAAAGGAAATTTCAAGTGTCTCATGTCCCAAATCCCCCGCTCCCTTCTTACAGGATGCTCTTCCTTTGTTATCTTTGAAATGCAGCTCGCTCGGTAGACTCACTGTTTGCGAAATACGCTGGTCTCTGTATTATAGGAAAAACTATGGAAACTGTAACACTTAAAGGAGGGCCATTTTCATTCGGCTGTTCAGTTATTCTGTTATTATGTCTGCAACTTCAACGAGAATATGGTAAGTTCATTGTTTTTAAACGATTTGATTCGACGAAGTATTTCTACTTTTTGTTTCTTCGTGAGTTTAGCTTTTAAAGATGCAAATATACCGATACAATATATTGATAGTCATTATAATATATATTATTATCAATATACTGATACAATATATTGATAACAAATTGGAAAAAAAAATATAGAAAAAAGATATAGAAATTTATATGTCATATTCTCTTCTATATTTAAGTTTTAATATGTTTGTCATCCGGTGTATCTAGATACATAACCTAACGATCTGATTAAGTTCCCTGTCGCTTGCTTCTATCGTTATTGTTTTTAAAGTTAATGGCATGGTTGAGAAATGGATAGCGACTGGCACTTTGACTTGGTATAATGGTTAGCAAGGTTGTCTCGTTAGAGCAATTACTACTGAATAGTGAGTTCGATCCTCACTGGGTGCCACCATACTTTCGTCCTTGTGCCACATCTAAGCTACGCTTAGAAAATCATTTGGGCACTTCGGCGTGGTGTAATGATTAGCAAGCTTGCCTCGCTAGAACAATTACTACTGAATAGTGACTTCGAACCTCACTGGGTGCCTCATACCTTTTCTGCTACATCTAAGCTACGCTTAGAAAATAACCATTTTATTTTCGAACCATAAATCTCGAGTAATGGACAGTGACTCGGATTCCAGTTCATTCCTTCACTTACCTTAGGAACGGTATGAATACATTTCTTCAATCCAGCTATTGGTAAATAACAGGACAGACTGTGCCCTATAGCCTTGGTTGGCAACCAGGCTAGAAGAAAAAACTCTGAATTCAAACCAACTGCTGCCTTGTAGGTCTTGAAGGTAATTTCAAAAAATCCACCTCGAAGAAAGAAGCTGATCCCTCTCCTATTTCGAGCCTCGACAGAAAATAACAGACTCTTTAGTAAAATGGTTCTAACAGACAAGACTGGGACACGGAACGGTGTATCTTCTCTGATTTCATTCCAATATGATTTTCAGCACTTTAGATAATGACGACGACGACGATAGTTGTTAAGTATCCCGCATTGTAATAGTAATTTTCTTAAGAAAGGAGTCATACTTTATTATTCTGAACGTGGATTTAACGCAGACGATTCCGAAATTAGGTCCTTTTCAAAACATTTTCGTCACAATAAATTTATCTTTTAATTAAATCGACATTCTTTAAATCGAAATTGTGGACCGACTTATTACGATGAACGACTAATGAATTGAATATATTGTTTTGTAAAAGATACCTTTTGTGTTCATATAATCTTTTATTTAGATTCCTAGGTGTTTGTCTTAGGTATTTCTTGGTACAAAACAGAAGTGATTGAAAGTCGGATGAAATCGGTTAGGTTATGCATCTTGATCAGACGTCCCTAAACATTTTAGAGACAATTTACCCCCTCATGGAATTCTTGATCTCTCATCGACCCTCCAGACTCGTATAAAAATACCAATAAGAATTTTTTTTTAATTCAAGGTTAAGATTTCTTTTATCTTTTTCTTGTATTATTGTTTCTTATTCGTTTTAGCTTTACGCTTTGTTAGTTATTTTCAATTTCAATCTTCCTATCCTGAACGTGTTTGTTCGAATAATAATAATAATAATAATAATAATAAGAAGAAGAAGAAGAAGAAGAAGGTGCGCCTAAATCTCCACTGGTCTGTCAGCAGGATATGTGACTTTGACGTGAACGAGAAGTGGTATCGTTACAAAACGGTGAGGGTTTATAGAGAATAAACAAACAAAACTCTTGTGGAATTTCCAAATCCGAATCGACAATAAGCTTGAACATACGAAGACTGACATTACTGTGGTTGGTTGGTTTGGCTTGGTTTGGCTTGGTTTGGCTTGGTTTGGTGACATATCAACACCTTTACGAGTTATTTTAATGCCGAAATCTAGATATTTCGAACACAATTTTATGTCTTCAACTAAAAATAAAACGTATTGTTGGTTATTTTGCTACATAATGTACTGTTGGTAATTCGACTGAAAATGTATATTGTTAGTATTTTTAATATAAAAATTTATTTCTAGTATTTGTATTATAAAAAAAATACAGTGTTTTGTTTTTGTATACTATTTGAGGTTGCTCATAGTTGGGACCCCAGCAAGTGCTACCACCCCAGGTTAGAGTGAACCTGAAAACAACAGAAATAAATTAGCGGTTCTACGCTCCTCAAAACCTCCGATCTGATGATCAGAGGCCTTGTTTCTGGATGTAGTTTATCATCATACCCAGGAATTGGTTGGTAGTTAACAGAAAGTGTTCTCTTGGTGATGTTGCATGCCCAGGAGATGAAAATTTTGTCCAGAAAGACACTGGGAAACTCGGCAGATATATAGATCTCCGCACTGAACGTGGTATTTTGTGGGATGTAGAATCTACCATAGACCCAATAATCATTGGTGTATTGAATTCCATTCAGTCATTACGTAGCATGCGTGATACACGCTTAGGCGATCATGTATCTTTCGATACATGACTGACGAGGCAGATTTTTCCCCGCAGTAGGTTGCCATGTCTTTCTGCAGTAGACCGGTTGCTATCCAGGGCTATAGAACCAGGCTTGTCCTGCTATTCATCCATAGCTGGGGGCAGAAGAAGAGGATTCATACCTTTCCATTGACTTTGAACAATAAACTGTAAATATTTGGAATCAAGCCCCATGTTCAAACCCTGTAGAAATTGGATTTACTAGGAACTGTTAACGTCCTGCGAAACGTGCTCTCTCAGGTCAAAGCGATTTGATGAAGTGTACTAATAATGGAAGATCGACAGCATAAGTTATTACTGAACGAAAAAGGGGTAAAAATTACGAGAAAAAAATTAATAATATTGGCAATAGTAAAAACATCATGCATAAATTAGTAAACCTTCTTATTAAATTGGTTGATGCCATTAATTGGATAGTTTCTGACTGGCAGTAGCCAGAGTATTGGTATTTGGTTGGAAATTGGTGAGATTTAGCCCTAAGTCAATACGATTTACCTATCAACCCCCTTTGATTTCTCAGATATTTATTGACTCCTTTTGACCTCACATACATTTATCAACCCCATCTGACTAGAAAGACATTTATCAACTCACTGCGACCGCCCAGACATTTATCGACCCATTTTGACATCCTATACATATATCAACACCTTTTCTCTTCCCAGCCATTTATCAAACCATTTTACCCACTCCCCACAGGCATTTATCAACACATTTTGACCTTCCAGACATTTATGATCCCCTTTTGACCACCCATACAAGCATCAACACCTTCTGACTTCCTTGACATTTATCGACCAATTTTGACCGCCTAGATATTTATCAGCCTCTTTTGACGCATACATTTATCGACCACTTTTGACTTCTCAGATATTTTTCAACCCCTTTTGGAACTCTAATACATTTATCTAGCCCTTTTCATTTCCCATACATTTATCGATCCATTTTGACATCTCATACATGTATCAACACTTTTTCTCTTCCCAGCCATTTATCGACCTACTTTTACCCCCACCCACCCAGCTATCTAGCCCTTTTCATTTCCCATACATTTATCGACAGCTTTTGACCTTCCAGATATTTATTGTTCAGTTTTGAGTTCAAAGAGATTCATCAACCCGTTTTGACTCCACACACATTTAATGACCCAGACATTTATCAAACTATTTTGTCTTCCCAGACATCTAACACCTTTTGGCCTCTCAGACATTTATCGATCTCTTTTGACATCTCAGACATTTATCGATCTCTTTTGACATCTCAGTCATTTATCGGCCACCTAGATAGTCCCAAGGGTTGATAGCCACCAATTCGGTGACCTCTGACCAAGATACATCGGACGCCAACTATACTTTCATATTTATAAAGAAGACAGTAATGTGAATTAGTCTCTGCCAATGGTATTCATTAGAAAATGTATTTTATTTTGAATTTTAGTGTCTTTTCCAGAGACAAATCGAACCAGTTATCTTTTTTAATATTTTTTTAACGCATTAAAAAATAAATGAAGTTCTCCAACGTAGAACGACGTTAAGCAGGACGTTGGCAGTAAAGTGAGCCTGACTTCAAATGAATGTCCCACAACTGTGGCTTTGTGCATGACAAAGATATAGCAATAAAGGGTGATTTTTTTTTTACTTTTAACTGAATGTATGATTGTTTTATGTATGTATTTAGAGTTATAGAAATGTTTTATTTTCCAAACACGGTCAGCACATTGTGTCCGTGTTCATAGTTGATATTATTGATATTATTAATCTATATCTATCTACCAATTATAGCATCAAATCAGCTCATGAATTTCTCCAAATTCTTAAAACTACACAGCCAAAGTCATTCTAGCGTCACTTGACGAAGAAAATTTAATTAAAAATGTCCCTTTCGATGAAACCATCGATATAATCCTTAACTCTGTATATGAAAATAATTCAATTCCACCTCCATCCATCAAACCTAATATTCTAAAAAAATTATTGCATGCCTGCACATCTAAAGCCCCTTTCTACGACAATAATGGCAAAAATGCAGTAAGTATGGGAAATCCACTCGGTCCATGCTTCCCTAGTACATGTCCCACGTAGAAAACATGGTATTTAAAAAACGTTACTAAATCGAAAATATATGTCCGATGTGTAGATATTTTTTATTTTAGCTGAAAACAAACGAAATTCATAACTACATTCGAAAAGAATTCCGTCCTGAAATTTAACAATGAAATTAGTCAAAAAAAAAATAAACTCCCATTCTTGGAGTCTACTAACAATACATTCACTACTTCGTTATATAAAAACCTACAAGTAAAACTCTTACCACCTTAATTTTACTAGTCAATGTCCTTTCAAATATAAAATAGGCGTTATAAAAAATTTCCACACGAGAACGCACGAGAATTCATCCTCTCATTCGCTTTTATTAAGCATTATAAATAATAAAAAAGAAAAAGCCAGCATTAAATAATATCAACTATGAACACAGCCACCCTGTGCTGACCGT